CCCCAAACACATTTTTTCTGCATAATAATGACACTATCCAAGACAAGACATGAATCTGTTGAAGAGAGACAATCACTTTTCTCTTTGACAATAGGAGACGATCTTAGACAATTTTGACTGCTGTATTTTGCAACAGCCAGAGGCGAACACATGTTTGCAAAGAAAAAAAAGAAGAGGGAACTGAACACAAACTGTAAATGCAAGAGTTGACAATTGGCAGTGGCAAGAGCCTTGAACAGCCGGGAGTTCTCCACGTGTTCTGACAGGACACTGAACCATGAGTAACATTTCGAAACCAAAAAAACCCCAACATACATAAAGATAATTTTTTTCATACAGCTAGTTAGTGCACAGGTAGTTTTATATACCCTTTGTTATGGCTGTGATTTTGATGAAATGAAAAATAGACTACATTAAAAAAAAGCTGTCTTCAATTCATTGAGTAACAAGTGGCAAAAATTTGAAACATTTAAAATAAAGGATCCTATACATCTAATACCAGCAGAAAAAGATGAGTGTGAAAGTTATTACCGGGTTAAACAGGTTTCCCCTAAATATTTCCAGGCTTTGCAATTTGTAAAAAATATATTTATCAACACTTGTAGTAGCATAGCGTCATATTCACATAATGACAAGTGGACACAAAATGAAAGATTCACCTAGCATTCAGCCTCCAATAAGAGGAATGGCAGTTCAAGGTAGAAAAATGGCAGTTAATGTAATAGGAACAAAAGAGAAGCACTATCAAAGTTGGAACTGCGAGAAGACCTTGAAAGTCAACAAAGAGGATGTACATTAAAATTTAGACATACATCATACATGTCAGTAAACCCTTTCTCTGACGTATCGCTGATATTGGTTACTTTCAGGGAATGCATTTGGACACATCGCTGATATATGCCCACTTTAAATAGTAGTGTACAAAGTTCGTTTAATTATCTAAATTCTATAGGTGGTGGTAGGGGGAGGAGAAAATGAAGTCACCATACCTACGCCTGAAAATCATGTGCACAACATTTAGAGGTGGTAATCTGGTAATTGCTGATGTTCTATTCTAAATACGAAGAAAAAAGCCAACAACCGATGAAAGTAATGAGAATGTGTCCAGAACAAAGAAAGTAAACCATGATTAATGAGTACAAATATAAACAACTATCTACTTTTGGCACAGTCTCAATCTTACTGTGTGCTGGAGAAGCAGTAACTATAATTCTTTTCTTTTTAAAAAAAAATCGCCCTGTAAATTAAGATCAAATTTAAAAATGGATATTACGTACCTCTCCTCTCTAATTGAGATTTCTACAGTAACAAGACTTTTCTTAACAGAAAAAAACATAATATTTCCAAAAAGTCTGATCATATGCGCTTCAAGTTTTGAGAATACTACAGCCATCATACATTTTAAAATGGAACTACAAAGCTCCTTAATACTATAACAAAACAGCTGGATGCTATTCCTTTCAGACTATTGAATATTTCTCTTAAAATTAAATTAGACCAGAATAAAAACCACTTGGACACTTAATTTTTACACTAGAAACCTCTGTACATCGGATATGATGAATCAAAACATCAGGCTCATATAGGATGTCATGGAATTGCTGCGTTGATACAGGAAACATTTCAAACATTCGTTTCTTTCATTGCCAGGACAAGACATTTGTTGCTTCAAGTGTCAAACGTAGTACCAATAGAGAAAGGTGCAAGCATGCCCCATCCTATTTAAATAAAAGTGCCATTGTGCTTCAGAAATGTATTCGAGACTGGTTCAAACCACGGAAAGGCAATCCTTCAGATAGCTTCTACAGAAACATATTTGGCAAAATTATCGAATCAATATTACCATTGTGTTACTGAAAAACATAAATAACATTCAGAAACTTTTTCTCTTCACACTCATGTAGGACACCTGCTCCAGTTTTGAAAAACCCCAAACATCTGCTGCAAACTGAATATACAATATGTGACATTTTTGCAAGACAAAACATGAGCAGGCTACAGGAGCAAGACAGTCCACATACAAACAAAAAATATATTAGCTTTCACAAACCTCTTGAGATTTACATTACATGAACAGTGTTAACTCTATTTTTTTTTTGTAAAACAAATTTTCTCTTTGCACATCAGTAAGAATGAAAAATACATTTTCAGATATAATTATAAGAACGATAGGTGAGCAGCGATCGCACACAACTTTCAGCGTACCGGTACGGACATTCAAAAGGTAAGAATACAAAGATAGTATTGCAACGGCCAGAACTATGCCAGAAACAAAAATAAGATTGCACTCATAATAATCATTGAAAACATTGATGATTTGTGCTACATCATATAAAAGCCGGCTGATCAATTACATTTATTGTGAGATATACAAAATGCTTGAAGCAATCCCAGACAACTGAAAACAAACCAGCTTCCCAACGTCAGCACTGCACACCCTGCAGACAATTATGAACCTCGCAGACACAACACTTGACACTATTGCCGGTCCAGATGTTCACTCTTTCCCTCACGTTATTTTGATATATCATAATTACACTGGCCAAGACGACCACCACGTTTCTCTTCGACAATGGGTGGCCATCTAGGAAAGTATTTACACAATACCAGCTGAAAAAATGTTCTTTCTTCCAAAACACATAGGTGGATCTGAAGCTGTAAGACTCATTCTACCTAACAACAAATTTACACAAGCCCATACTGATAAGCCTAACTATTTAGCACTGCAAAGAGATATATGATTGGTTCTCCTTAGGTGGAAAATCTACAATACAATGAAAGAGGTTCCCCTACTTTTTTCAAGTGATTGAATTAACTAAGTTTAAAAAAACAAAACAAACAAAACAAACAACAGCCCACCCCACACAAAACAGACAACAAAAGAAGAGAGCTATAAGATGCAGTGGTACAGTAGTGAAATGAAAATGATAAAGCCAAACCCCCTATCAGACATCTATTTCAAGAGCAAAAGGACAGAGGCAGAGACGTATACAATGAATTTGTTTTTGTATTTTTTGAGCACTTCATTCTTCAATACATTTCATTTTTATGGACAAACTTTAACAGTCCTGTTAAGGTGAACAATGTGTTTTTCTTTCTCATAATCAAGATTGTTATTACCAGGAAAAACTACAAGAAAACATTTATATGGCACAAATTATTCCTGCATATGTCAACAGTACGAGAGCAACCCCCCCCCCCCCCCCAAAAAAAAAATAATTTTTTTAAAAATCCAGAAGCTACAGCTCAGTCAAGATGATGCAGCAAACGACAAATTCATCGCCAGTGGCGTTTGGAGTATCGTTCATTAATACATCAGTGTAGTGTGACATGACTGTAATGGAGGTAGAATTCTATAACGAAGACAGCGACAGCAGTGTTGCAGAAAAAGCAGAGCGGTCTTTCCAAAATACCAACCACAAGTCCATTTACAAGGAAACTTCGGGAACCAAGGACAAACAGTGTCATCGTCTGACACATAAAAAAAAGACCCCCCCCCCCACCAGTTCAACGACCACTTTCTTTCGCAACTGAGAAAACTTAAAGAAAAAAACAAGCACAAATAATACAGTACTAAAAATACATTTTTTTTTAATGGTTGGTAAGGAACATGGGTAGGTAGCCAGATGTAGGCCAACACACATTTTCTTTTATGTCTTCACACACACACACGCACATATTCCAACACACACACACACGCAAACACTCATTAAAAACAACTCAATAGGTGACTAGAAAGCCTGACGCTAACTGCTGGGACCGCATCCTGAGGAGGTCTGGGTTCGAGGCTGAGTTTTCTTGTTGCTCGGTGGGGTGAGAAGACCCACCAGCTGTGCTGAAAGATCTAACGATGAAGGATAAAGTTTCTCACGCTCTTCCATGGTCACCTGATGTGCCAAAGCACGATCCTAAGAAACAAAGAAAAAAAAAAAATATGTATCGACCAAATCTAAAAAAAACCCAACTGTACACTGCTTTACAAAACAAAATATTCTCGACTGGACATGACATCACAAAATATTTAACCATTTCGAAAACCAGACTTGGAGTTTCAATTTGACACACTCTGGTATTGCGTTTAATATTCACCTAACACGCACATGGCACACACCATGCACATTGCAATCAGATTTTCATGTCACATTTAAAAAAAAAAAGTGTTTTCTTTGATTCAAAACATGAAAAAGGGAAAAGTGTAAATACTGAAAAAATTTCCCTGCTGTCAAGCATTATTTTTATGGCTATTAAGTTATGTTATAGTCTTGAGAGAATAATTAATTAAAAACAGCAGCAGCAACTTAAACCCCCCCCCAAAAAAACAAGACATCCACTGAAACATCATCGTACTTGACAAACAAACAAAAACAGCTTACCAAAAGAACCATGTCCACATTGTGGGTCTGTATGTTGTGGCAGTCTTCGGCGTTGATATGCGGGAAATACTTGATCGGTGACTGGCCAACCTCCAGGATTGCCTTCGCAAATGGATTCATCCACTTCACACAAGGATACAAGTCTGCCCAGTTGAGGCCTTGATTGTGATTTTGAAAGGGCAAGAAAAAACAACAAAAAATTAATAAATCGGCAAAAAAAATCAATAAAACAAAATCTATACCTTTTTGAAAAAGGAAACAAAAAAATAGCATTCACTATTTACAAATCCTTTCGTGTGGGAAGCAAACACACAAGTTATCTAATATCACAATCTACAGTGTAAATTTTAACAGAACTTTTGAATGTCAATATAGTTGACTACTCATCCTCTGAGAGTTGGGGGAAAAAAAGGCTTAATTGTATGTCTCTTACCATACTGTATAGTCACTTAAGAGGCAGGACCTCTAAATCTAATGTCCATCTCCGGTAAGACCAAGCCAAATGGGAACATTCGTATTAAGTACCTCTGCCTGGGACAAAACGTGAGTAAGTGGAGCTTTGAACCTAGCAATTTCACGATCAAGAATCCTGTGGCATAATGACTTAAATACAGATGCGACTGTAGTAGGACTTTAAACAACTGATAAAGAAATTAGTTACTATAATAAAGTTGTTAGAGTAAACATAAATGTCAAAGTCCTCAACTATAAACTCCAGGCTAGTACTTTTCACTTTAGAATCACATTAACCTGTTCCCCTGCACAGCCCTAGATGACACTAGCTACACTACTCCCTGAACATTACAGCAACTGCTGCAAACCTGCACTTATCATTACATGGCATTAGATAAAAGGGCGAGGGCCCAGATGTTGCTGGATTGATGACAACAACATCATGTACCTACCGGATACTTCCATGACCAGCTTCTCGTTGGTGTGGTGGTAGAGAGCCGAAGCCGCAATAACGTTCCGGTAGAACTTGAAGGAACCGACGTCCATCAAAGCTAAATCACAAAGCTGAGGACAACCATGACAAAAGATTTATAAATGATTCTCAATGGCAACTTTTAATAAACCGTCAGATTTATGTGAACAAACAAATCTACATTATTTGAAATACATGCAATTCCCGATACCAAAAAAAAATCAGAAATACTACAATTACACAGTGAAAAAAGTGGTAGAAAAGCTTCAAAGCTGAAAAAATAAAATAAAAGCAATGTCCATTATCTTTTGATACACCGTCAGTCCTAAGGCCATCGAAGTTCAGTTTTGTCTAAAAATTCCACTAAAATGAGTTACTCACTCTTGATATTTGTACAAAGGCATGGGTAGAAAACTGTGGAAAGACAAATCCCAGCTCCGGGTCTGTGATGTGGTCCATGTTGGCCACCTGCAGGTACACTCCGAGCCAGGCGTTTGTGGTCATGGGAGACAGATCCCACTTTAATGCCTGCAAAACAATATTGAGGAACATGTATTCAAAGTTAGGCATGAAAAAAATATCTGAGATCTTCATCGTAAATTTCTTTATCTCTGGAGGGGGTTACGGAGTTCTCACCTTTCTTAGATTTAATGTTCACACCTAGGATGAACTTGGCATTCTATGACAATTATCTTTTATCAAACTTTTCAACAACCCAACTTAGTGGAACCAAACCAAAATGAACATTATTTTTCCAAAAACGCGTGTTTACCATAAACTATTTGACTTGAGGAATAGATATTACAAGAAACCAAGAATTAGACTTTCCTATCTGAATATCAAGACACATTTGCACTGCGAAGGTAAATCTGGACCACCAAGGGGAAAAAATGAAGTATTTCATTGAAATTTGGAGATAAAACAGGAAAGCAAAAATAAGCTTTGTACAAACTGCTAAACAATGCCTTCCACAAACTAACGTTGGAACATTTTAAATAAAGCACTGAGGGAAAAACGTCTGACACATAAAAAAAGAACTTACTTTTAAAATAATCATTTCTTGACGAACGATGTCAGCTTCTGTGCAGGCAGAGTCTGTCACGTACGCAAATTCTGACAGCTTTGGAGGGTAGATTTCCTGAGGAGGAGAACAACAACAAATATTTGCAATAAATTACAATAATAAAAATAAATGAATTTAAATAGCGCTCAACCCCGATTAAAGTACACAGGATCTGAGCGCTTTAAAATACAAAGCAACAGTACCATAAAACATTATGTTCTGACCAAAAGAAAATCTCTCTAAATATTCATTTTATCAATTTAAAAAAGAGAAATGACTTCAATGTGATAAAGGAGAGATAATAAAAAGACAAAAAACCCAACAAATCCATCAGAATGGAGCAGACAATACAGTAAAGTACGTAGTCTTCAACCAGAATCAATTGTTTTCGGTGATTTTTAAAGTTATTGAGGATGATTTACCAAAGCACATGACCATGGTTTTACTGCTGCCCTTCCAAAGCTGTTGAGGTCCCAAGGCTATCCTGCCTGTCTGTCTGTCAATCAGACTTTAAGGTAAACTATGGTGTAAAATAAAACAACTGCACTTTCAAGACAGACAGACAGAAACAGAGGAAGAAAAGATGTAGGACTGACTAGTAGTAGCCTCCAACCATCCACTTTGGGACAATGGCAACCTTAACTTTGATGAACATGTGCTATCGTCATTCTTTTATCTCAATGTCCTGAAAAGCTCAAAATGATTCCAGGATTTTTTGCAGAGATAAATGTACAGTACTGAAGAGCCCTAGCTTCCGTCAAACTGTGCTTCCTGGTAAGCGGGGACAAAAATACTGCACTCTGCTGCCCTGTGTGTGTGTGTGCGTTTGTGTGTCTGTGCCTGTGTGCATGTGGGTATGCGTGTTAAAATAAACATTCCATTCTTGCACTTACCTCAAGCTTGGCAGCAATAAATAACGAAGATATTCCTAACAATTGCAGCTGGGTCTTGGGCACGTTGTCGACCACACTAAGATAGCGATCCAGGTAATCCACGGCCAATGTGAAGGTTTCTTTATGTAATCTGTACACTTCACACACCTGTGAGGAAGTCAGAAAGACCATGATGAAAGTATTCTGGTATACTATAACTGACGTTTATTATTAAAACTTATCATTGGCATGCCGTTCAAATTCAATATAAGCTCAATAGCAATTTTTTTTTCAGGAAGGAAAGAAAACAGATTCTTTAATTCCTATAGCAATTGAACTTCTTTGGCGTATTTTTACTTGCTTTTTTTTTTCAATTTTAGAACTAAGTTGTTTCAAAACAACATTTCCAATCGACCTTGTAAGAATGTGGCCTTGAGGAAATTATATTTTACCTGAACGCATTCAAACCGTCAAACCTACTCTAATTATTGACACCTGTATTAGACCGTTACCAATTGCAACTTCCCATTTCCTTCCTCGCATATTTTTACAGGGTTAATGATACTGTACTGCCATATTAGTCTTTGACATTGGCTGGTCGTCTGATTAGACAATTTTGACTGGAAAGGGAATGATAATGTTTTAGTTTTAGTAGAGGTTTTACGGCACTTGCAACAGCATAAGGTCATATGAGCACCAAGGGGCTTAGGGGTGAATGTCAACAGAGAAGTCCTTACAGGGAATCAGGCCTACTCATCTCACCTCTCTAGCTTCAACAGCACAAAGTCTGTTTCTACTATCAAGGCACCCCGCAAATAGCGGGTCACATGAGTGTGACAAACATACAAAAGAAGTAGGGGACAAATGATGATAGTAAGGATTAGTAAAGAAAAAGCAGCAGTTCCCAGTCGCAGTTCAGGCACAGTTATCAGCATGACATTGATGAATCAGCCCATTTACAATTACAATTACAATTCTACTGTGCATAAGAACATGGTTAATGCTCCCCATTTGGTAAAGGCCTAAAGATATTTCAGTCAGTAGCACTGCCCCGGGAGGTATAGTAATAGAATGCGTTTATATAGCCCACTTTCCTATACGAGTATAGCACTGGGTGCTTTACATCAATCACATGATCATACTGAATGATTCACGCAAGAAAAAATATTTCACAGCAACAAGAAAAACCATACCAGCCACATAAAGAACTTTCACAATCCTACATAAAAAATATACATGTAAGAACGGCAGTTAAAAAAACAAAACTTATCAGGATTGCTAAAACACTATAACTAGTGAACACAGACAGACAAGCGTACCTCTGACAACCAGTCTAACAAGATCGATCTCATGCGAGGCTGAAGCTCTGGGTGGTTGCGGAACATTCCGGCATCACGCCGAAACTTCTCTTCCTTCAGAAGCATGTTCTTCCACACATCACCTGAGTTGGCCCAACTGGAAAGCAAAAAGTACAAACATTGTAATATTATGTATTTTATTGAGCATGTTTGTGAGTTGAAGTAAAAGAAAACAGGGTCGAAAAAGAAATGTTTGAATAAAGAGAAGCACTAACACAATGGTCATTGAGTCCAACAAGGACAGACAGACAGAAAACAAACAGCACAATGATGTCTTAGAAATTCTCGACTGTACTTATAGCCAGTAAATGATCAGTAGCCGCAGGAGAGTTCCGCAGAGGGCCGGCACTTACCGTGACAAGATCCACTGAGGAAACTAAAAAAGAGTAAGGATTAGGGTAACACCCCGCTCAAAATATCCCCTCTTTTGCGCATTGTTGGTCGGCCGGCCCTCTGCGGAGCTCCTTCCACAGCAGCAGTGATTGCCTTTTTGTGTACGTGCTCAAGGTCAATTACCAGTATACAAGTATGTGGATGAGTTGTTGTATGTTGAATGGGCCAGTGTGAAAGAAATGTTTTTTTATACTGTGAAGCACCTATAGCCACCAAGGAGTGGGGGCTATAGAGCAATCTTTATTATTATTCAAAGCAACCATCCATTTCAACTCACTTGAAGGCAGGCAAGGGGGACTGTATGGCGGTGTGAGGTGTTGCGAACACATTTTGAAACCTCAGCTGGAAGTCCAGGGAGCGGAACTTCTCAAAGCTCTGATTGGCCACGGGTTCCGATGTGGAAGCAACCATGTCGCCATCCACTTCGTCGGTGACGTCTGATTGGCTGTCTGTGCAGCGCACCAGCGCCGAGGAGGGGAGGGAGACGGTGTCACCAATGGGAATCCACTGATTCTGTAAAAGAGGACAGAAATTATTTGAAAATTATTACACATGAAAGGGCAGAAGTCATATGAGGCTTCATGAATTATCAAAGCCAAGAAAGAAGCCTGTTTTGTTTGAGTAAGGAGAAGCACATCAATGCAATAGTGGTCATTTAGTGCTTATAAAAGTAAGACAGACAAAATAACAGAAGGGAAGTAAAGCAGCAGGGCCTACCAGTGGAGCCCTCCATTCAACATATGGCAAACTCTTCTGTGTCATAACTGGTCTCATTGGCCACAGCAGAAGCCACAAGCCATCTTCCGACAATAACAAACTATTATTATTACATACGAAAGGAGTTTATTTTAAAATGTGTTTATGCATACGCCGCCATTGACACAGTTCAGACAATTTAGGAGGCGGGCTTTCAACTTGCCTGTCAAGGCCAACCTAGGCAGAGAGGGATACAACATTCCAGCAGAAAAGAAGAGATCGAGGGCGAGAGCTGATATGAGACTGAAGGAGCAAACCCCACCAGAGCGCCTGCCAACCACCTGGTCCAGAACTAAAAATGCACCTAGTCATGGTGGAAACAACAGCAACATCATAACATTTTAACCCCCCCCCCACCCCCACCCTCCAGATTTGTTAGTTTTAGTTGAGGTTTTACGGAGTTCGCAACTGCATAGGTCATATGAGCGCCAGAAGATTAGAGGTGTTACAAGAGAGTAACAAACATACAAAAAAAAAATAAGGGTGATAGATATTTGATAGGAAAGAAGCAGCAGACCACACCAGAGCACCCGCCAACCACCCACTTGTTAACTGATCTGACACACAAGCGAGAACAAAACTACATGACTGTAAGTCCAGCCACTACCTTTAATTTAAAATGACCTATTATCCTACCCCAGGAATATGTGTATCAGCAGCACTCTCTATCATATGCTAAAACTAGATCTAGATCTAGATCTAGATCAAGATATCTATCAAAACCAATTTTAGGAGTAAAAGTAAGCGATTCTCAACACGGGTCGAAGTCCGTCTCCGAAGTGATCTAAACTGTCGATAGGGGCGTAAAAAATACACCTATTTTTTGTGTTAAAAAACCCCCCAAAACAAAACAAAAATCAGCTTTCCTGGAAATATCGGAATTCTTTCTCTCCAGGAGACAGCTCAGGGTTATCCATGTCATAGCACACACACGCCACGGGTCACGGACAAAGTCACACGCCACGGGGTCAACTAAAACACGGCACAATATTGCTCACTTCCTCCGCGGACACGGGATTGTTCTTCCTCACTTCTCTGTTCCACACACACAAACAGCAGAGTCGTAGGCTACTCCAAGGTGGGCAAGAATATAAGCCTAGGTGCTGCCATACGCAATGTTGAGAAATGAACAAAGAGTAGAGGGAAGAAAAGGAGGGGGAAAAAACGTA